GTACATAGAGAATATCCCTGCAGAGTTTCAGCTTTCTACCTTGCCTGGTTCGCGAAATCGTTTCCCTCCAACATATTTCATGGGGGTGTCTCGTACGGAGTCTAGGCGCGTATGGGGAAAGATCTAAAATCAGGAGGATGACACACGGGGCCTCCCAACTCTCCTGGTTGTTAAGATGAAAGTAGATGACAAAATGCACTCGCTTCCGAACACACACACCGACCGCATTTTGACAATATGCGTTTTTGCTGACTGCAGCAGCGCTATAGCGCTGCACAGCAAAAACGCATAAAAAATGAAGCCGAATTAAACTGTTCCGTAGGATTTTAATGAAATTTTGATTTTCCAGAACGCCATGGTTTTATATGACCGATGAAGTAGTAGAAGCAGCAGCGCTGTGTCTTGTTGCAAGAGCCGAAGAAATGGAATCCAACGGTAAAACGGAGCATCGGGAAATCGAGAGAGCTGTCCTGAAAGAATTTGGTCGTTGTTTGGATAGCGTTGTTGATAGTGCCTTGAAAAATGTACAACGATTTGCTGCTATGGGTGCTTTCAGAAGTTAACATACGTATCTAACTGGTACACGGAATTTGTATTTTTGGGGCTTAATCGATTCAGAAATTCAGTCTTTATGACCCTTACATAACCTAGGTTAGCTTTAATTTATGGCTCATTGATATTGGCAAAAAAAAAAGCCCTGTATCTTATTGATATTGGCTTGCTGTTACCTCAGAAATCGTCCTTTTTTTAAAAAAAAAGAACTTTTCAACATTGGGATTTTTATAATTTTATAATTTTTTTGAATTTTTTCGTAAAAAGTATCTTTCCTAGTTTTTTGTTTTTGTATCTTTTCGACTTTTTTATGAATCAGTTCTTTGGTGTTTTGTAGTGATATGAGATTTTTGTAAGCCTAGAAAACTTGTAGTTTATCGCGGTCACTTAAGCTGTTGAAATACTCGCTATCATTAATTCTTTTTATTGAAGCACTACCTTGTGATGATGTTGTTGTCTCACCTTTTCAACACCAAACTGCTTATCTTCAGTGGGGAGCCGAAACTCGAAAAGCGCTGCGGATTCGTAATTGGTACTGAAGTAGTCTTTTGGGCTGTTTCCGAAGAAATAATACAAAAACGTTGTAAAAAAGAAAAAAAGATTGACATTTGGTGTAAGGAACTTCTCAATATCAGACGCAAAATGTATCAGTAATAATTCAGAAGACATTTTTGGATTGTCATTTATCTAACTGGTGATGTACCTACCTCATAATGGTCAAGAAATGGGGGGTTGTTCCGCGTCCAAGTAGGTACTAATGAGCTCAAACCTATCCCCCCGAGTAAGCGTGGCCCCCGCGTACGAGCCCGCCAAAATTATTCTCAGGTAGGTTCATAATTCGGGGATCTGAGATGCTAGAAAACTGAAATCTTCTCTAGACGGAGGATGACCGATTTAAGCTTATCGAGATTTGAGCTGAGGCTTAGAGTTGAAGTCTTATAAAGTGCTTTTGCTGAAAGAATTGTTGAGCAGGTAATCTCCTGATAAGACAAAATGAAGTTGTTCGTACTTTGGCCGCTAGATGATGCATCATTGTTCAAAACAAATGTGGGCACTGTACTGATGATTCCCATCCCATTCCGCAGCGATTCTGCCGTCTACGTTTACAGCTCAGGAGTGAAACACAGGGCACAGGCTACCAAATCACTGCACATACAGGCTTGCTTATTTGGGTGGTCTAAATGGCACTACTTCCAGTGTTTTTCATAAATTGTCAAAATTCGATTGTGTTCCTCTCCACGGTGAGCCAATAACGCCCAACAAAC